GCATGTCCAACTGGGGACCATCCAGGCCAAAGTGCTGCTGAGACTAACATTTACCCTCATCTAACACCCTGAATTCAGTTCATGAGGTCGTGCTAATTAGCTGATGAGTTGAATCAGGTGTGTTTAATGATGCAGTGTGTTGAAGTCTGCAGTGTTTTGGCCCACAAGGACTGGACCTGACGCATGTGCTCTAGTATGCTTTTTAATGTCCGTAAAACAATAATAACAAACAAACCAAACTAGCTAGCAAATCACCATCCTTAGCTAACGGAACTGTTTTTCTCTCACAAGAAATAATGCTTATTTTTCCTAGCCAATGTTGATGAGTATACCATCCCCTATTTTGAACCGCTTACAAAAATTCCCATTCAGGGCTCCCCAGTGGCACAACCACCTGGCTTCACAGGTCTCAGAGGAAGTCTGTGCTAGCCTTCGTCCTCCTAGCACTGGTGGTATTGTGTTACTGGGGGAGTCGTAACAAGTGGATGGAATTGGAAATGACCAAATTGGGGAGAAAATTGGGGAAAAATAATAATAATAAAAAAAAAAGTCACTCTTTTGTTTCCACCCTAATAAGCCTTTGTTCCAACTCATATTTAGCCCAATATTTCTCATGGTTGTCTCCAAACATTCTCGTTACAAGATCACATCTGGCTCCACAAGACTACGGTTTCTTATCTGTTTTGTCCAAGGAAGAAAATACTACTACAGCCGTCTAAAGGCTACCCCACACCAGATGAGAAGCAGCACACTGCCGAAAAGGGTTGAAGATAGTACAATATATAGCACATAGGAAGCACTGCAGGAAAGCTACAGAAAACAAATTGCTCAAGCTTATTGTACACTATTCTCATAAATATAAAGTAAAACTTTCATCATTGAAATACTGAATTTACCATGTATCAAGTAACTAACTCTCATGACATGACATAAGATGTGACCAGGCTAGGAATGTTAGCAGAGGTGAAAACAAATGATTAGCATTTGTCTGCTTATCCTAAAGATTTCAGATTGACACCTTTCTCACTGCAAATAGCAATAGGTCATCTACTATGGATTTGTGGTCAGGGTTATATAATACTATAACAGTAAGATGCTAAGCATCACTGTCTCTGATACCATCAGCCTGACACATCCATACATGCACAGAAGCCTGTAGCCTTCACCCCCCTGTACTTGTTTTATTTATTAAAGATTAACATGAATGGCATCATCCAAGCGCACCGTTATAAGCCTTCCTGCAGTTGTTTTATTGGAATAAGTGTTGGATGCTGGAAAGGGATGTATGTTCTGGTTATCCTTATCAACATCTGTTATACCAGCATGTTAGGTGAGGTTTGTTTATGCTTGCTGTCAGTGGGAGTCCAGTGGGCTTTGTTAGCCCCCACTGGCTTCCCATAGCTTCATTACTCCTGTGGCTAACCACCAAGCCTGCTGTCTGGTGCTGTAAGTGTATGTTGCCAATAAAAGAGCAATTGATGTGTTCATGGTGCTTCCTGATCTTCTTCACCAATATTATAATATGATCATGCCACTAAATCTTAGTGAACTGAAGTGGAAGTAGTCTACAAGTAAGACTACTGTAAGACTACAGCAGACTGTGAAATCATACACTCATTAAATAAAAACATACATTCATTAAAAAAATTAAGAGGCCAAAAAAGGATCTTTGGAGTTATGTCATTAAGTAACAGCTTTAGGTTCCCTAAAGAAGCTTTCATTTCAGTGGTTTCAGTTGAAGAACCGCCCATTCAGGGGTTCTTTCTATGACCCATGTGTCAAACAGAAGGCCCATGACATAGTCCTATTCAGCCTGCAAAATTATTTTAATTTTCTATTCTTTTTAGCCTGTTTCATCCTGAAATGCACTACACACCCCAGCATGCACTGCAACATAGCGTGCATTCTGACCCCCTTCTCCCAACAACAATATGGGCCAGCGGTTACACTAAAAGAAAAGATGCCTGATGTGTAGTTCAAATAAATACGCAGTTTTTAAAAAACGACCTAAAACAATGTATCTTTTGTTTAGAATTCTTTTTGAATAAGTATTTAATGCCTATTTTGCTGTTGCAGTTTTGGCATATTTTGAATAAACAATTGTTCTTTTGGGTCAAGGCAAAATGTTAAGTAAAAATTGGCCACAGATTTGCTGAGATTTTTTAATATGGCCTTTTTTGTGGTTGAGTTTAACCCCCCTGTTCTGTGGTATTACACCAAAGAAACCCTTTATGACGCCTTTATTTTTAAGAGTGTTCTCTGAAAATGAAACAACACCTTTCAGCGTGACAGCTCTCAGACCTGGGTTTATTTCAGCCGCCGTCTTCCTTAAGTATATGCTCAGCACTAACCTCTGGAACCAATAACCTTTGTGTGTGTGCCCTTGGGAGTTGCACTGATAGTGTTTCGAGATATCATGGTCAAAGCTTTCTAACCCTGCCAAGATGAAAAGGTTAATGAACCCCCATTAATTGTATCAGTGTCATCTTGGTGGGGACTGTTAACCCAATTGATCTCGCCTCTGATCACATTTCACTAATAGCAGACTCACAGCCACAGTGAGGCTTGCTGATTAGAGAGACAGACTCTGTGGGGCCCAACTAATTGGGAAAATCACATGTTAGTCTGTCTGCCTCTCCCTCTCTTTCTCTTTCTCTTTTCTTCTGTCTGTCTATCCCTCTAGTTTTTAAAAGCCAATCAACATTTGGGTTTTGCATGGCATGCTGTTGCCGGCAATCAGCTATAAATAAATATGGAAAAAAAACACTGACAAAATTTGAGGCTGTCTATCAGATAATGAAGAAAAGAACCCAACTGTTTGAAACATACGGCACTAAAAAGAACAACTGGCAAATTAGCACCAGACCGCCTTGGTATTTTAGCAAAACGCGGCTGTTCTGTTTCATGGTGTCATCATGTATATAAATATAATCTGCGCATTCGGTGTGTTTTTAGGAGACATCAAAACTAGCGGGAAACAAGCAACATCAGAACTGCTGACTAAAACAAACTCCAGCTCTTGTGCAACCCAACTTGTACTACAAAACACTTTTGAGATGACAAAAGTTTGAAATCAGGTTGTCCAGTAAGCAGAAGAGGTGGCCTCATAGGATTATGGCGAATATAAAAACAGACAAGCTGGAGTATAATAAGGAGCGTCTGCTTATCACCCCAGGCCTCCAGGCGCCACACTAAGACCTTTCGGACACTAAAATCTTGTAAGCTCTGAATCACAGGGATTTTGTCCGTGCAGACTGAGACTCGCCTGATACGGTCTCTCCATACGGGGGGAAAGCAGACCTGCCGACATTAAACAAATACATTGGAAATAAAGCTCTGAGCAGCAGATTAGGTAATGAGGATTAAAGGGCTTTCAAGCCTGTTTGTCTTGATAATTGTGTTCAGAGGTCATTAAACACATACAGTGCCTTCCCACTGTTCAATATCTTTCACCTCAAATGTCCTTTCCATACCCTTTCATAGACAGTCTGTGGAGAGAGAAGAAAATAGAGACAGACGGAGACAGTTAGGAAGTAAGAGGGAGAGAGAGGGAGAAACTTGTGACATACTCCACTGTTCTGTTACTTATGCCTGTACTCCCTCACTACTATTGTCTGGGAAAAGAGAACAAAAGAGAAATAGACACAGAGAAGACAAAAGAGAGAAAGAGTGAGAGAGAAAAGAAAGAAAGAAGGGAAAGGAGGGGACAGTGTGTGAAGAGAGTGAAAGAAACTAAATAAAGACTGAGAGTGAAAGAGAGAAAGGGAGGAAGAAAGACATACTGATGAACAGATACAGAGAGAGAGAGATAGAGACACACTGATGAACAGATACATACAGAGAGAGAGAGACATACTGATGTATAGATAAGTAAGAAAGAGAGACAAACTGACAAACAGATACATAAGAGAGAAACAGATGGAGACAGAAATAGAGAAACAAAGAAAGACAGAAAGACTGTGTGTGTATATGAAAGAGAGAGAGAGAGAGAGAGAGAGAGAGAGAGAGAGAGAGAGAGAGAGAGTGAGAGTAACCACAGTCTGGCCATAGGAACATTCCGAAATTCGAAATTCTAACACAACCTGAAAAAAATTGCCAGTTTTTCTTGAAGAAGGACAGACAGCATCTCTCTGGGCAGCCAGGATTTTTTTATATCTGCCTGTTCCTATGGCCAGACTGAGGTTACTCTCACTCTCTCTCTCTCTCTGTCTCTCTCTCTCTCTTTCTCTCACTCACTCTCTCTCTCTCTCTCTCTCTCTCTCTCTCTCTCTTTCTCTCTCTCTCTCTCTCTCTCTCTCTTACTCCCACTCTCTCTTTCTCTCTCTCTCACATGTCACATGTCACTGCCTGAGAAACAGTAAGTAACACTCTCCACAACCTGACCTCACTGACCCCCCACCAAACCCCTCACTGTATATAAGTTAAATATACTTTCTGTTATTTTTTTACTATTAAATATATGCTATTTTATTTATTTAATTTACTTATTTTAATATTATTGTTTTTGTTATTATTTCAGTATGACTATGATCATTGTTACTATTAGTAATTGTATATTTGTTTTAGTTCCAAAGTACGTTCTGGCTTGAGTTGAACTTTATATACTTTGGCAACATTGTATTCAAAACAGTCATGCCAATAAAGCCACTTTGAATTTGAATTTGAGTGAGTGAGAGAGAGAGAGAGAGAGAGAGAGAGAGAGAGAGAGAGAGAGAGAGAGAGAGAGAGAGAGAGAGATTTTGACATACTCCACTCTTTTATTACTTATGTCGGTACCCCTTCTTACGTTAGACAGCTTGTGGAGATGGTCCACTGTCTCCACCTTTCTTTCCAGTTTAGTGCCATCTGATCTTCAGTTAAGACTTTTCGGACACTGTCCACTCGGTGGTCGAGCTGTCTGTCGCGTATGCTCCTTTAACAAAAACACGGCGTGACGTCAGGCATCGCGTTTAAATGTTGAGCACGAGGCGCGTCGCTCGCGAGAAGTTTGAGAAGCTCAACATGAGCGGAGGAGCGGAGGACGCGGGGAGAGCGGAGGAGCCGAAAAAGGAGAAGTGTGCGCCTCTCGGAGCGCGATGTGTCCACAGTGGATTAGCGTGTTCGGACGGAGCGATGTGGCCGAGCAGAGCGAGGGAGTATCAGAGGAGCGCGCGCGCTTCGCACAGTAACGGCTCGGAGACCCGGCGCAGTCAGAAGTGAGGAGCGATGAGGAGAGCTGACGAGTTCGCCTCTTTACGACGAAGCGGCGTCGACCTGCAGAGTAGGCAGAACACGGAAAAGTGGCTTTGTTTCACAACTTGAGCAGTTTTTAAAGAGCGACGCTAGCTGAACTAGCCTGTGTGTCTATTTTTTTCAAAAAAAAAAAAAAATAAATAAAATAAATTCCTGTCAGGAAACGACGTAAAATGTTGTGCTGTGAGTTTCACCGCGCTGTTAAAGGCTGCACGAGCCGGACTCGTTTGTCAACAAAAGTCGTTCCTGTCAGGAAATGGCGTTACAGCGCTGAAGCTCCGAGTTGTTTCGCCGTCAGGGAGTGAGTGAGTAAGTGAGTGAGTAAGGGGAGCTGGGCTTGATGGGGGAAATCGCCACGGTCCCAGAAAAACTCGGAGCGAAAAACATGCCGTCTTTGACCCCATGGAGACATGGCATATAGGGTCCTGTCCAGCCGCATCGTGCCGCCCTCCAACAAGTTGAGCAGAAGGTTCATTTTCGTGTTCACGCTCTCGCTCTCCTTCACCTATCTATGCTACAGCGTGCTCTTCTGCTCGGGCACCGTCATGCCGAGGCTGCACGGCTTTGAGGAGCACGGCTGCGTGCGCGTGGAGAGCGCCGGGGCCAAAAAGCTGCTGCAGAAGGCGCCTTTCTGCGCCGCGGAAAGCGCTCAGAGCGGCCCGGACGTGGCGCTTCCTCGCAGCGAGGCGGCGAGTCCCGCGCGCAACCAGAGCGGAAGGCGCACGGCGGCGCAGAGCGCGCGCCCCGACGCCGCGCGCTCCAAAGCGGGCAACAGCACGAGCGCGCAGCGCTACGGCAACAAGAAGTTACCGAACGCGCTGATCGTGGGCGTGAAGAAGGGGGGCACGAGGGCCGTGCTGGAGTTCATCCGCATCCACCCGGACGTGCGCGCGGTGGGCACCGAGCCGCACTTCTTCGACAGAAACTACGACAAAGGCTTGGACTGGTACAGGTAAGTGCCCACGCCAGCACTGTGAAGTGGCCTGGTGGGATTCATATGGCAGCAGTTGCTTCCATAGTGCATCAGTAAGAGGCCACATGTAAAACTACCGCTTAAAACTTCACATGACTGGAGAGAAAATGAGCCAGACAGGGGCTGGTTTCCAGAGGAGAACTTTATTTTGTCCCTTTACTCTGTCCCTTTTATGTGTTGAAACAATTTAAAATGATTAACACTGTCACTGTCTTAAAAAAATGAATGAAATTCTTCAGAACAGCAGTGCTGACTTGCACGTGAAACAGCAGTATGGGTTTTCCTTTGGAAATAGAAAACAAAAAAGGTGGAGTCCTACATGTATCTATGATTTAATATGCATTATATGTGTAAATATATTTTTTTTTTTGCCAGAGGTATATTGAGTGATAGCAGAAGAGGAGAGAGCAAGGCTTCAAAACTCAGCAGAGCAAATACTGCACCTGCTGAAATGGAGCTGTTTGTGTGAAATCATACAGAGAGAGAGGATGATAACTTGGCCGGGGAGCCAGGGTGAAATGACACAGAATGATTGCAGTGTTAGATTTCAGGAAGAAAACGTACAGATAAAGGGCAACAGAGACTTTTTTTTTTGGGGCCAGTCATAAAGTTTCATTAAACCCTGCCAAGGAGAAACACGCCTCATATTGAGCAGTGGCTGCCGATCTGGATCTGAGCTTTCTTTCTTTTCTGATGGCCTGCCATTCAAACGTGCCTTTGGGAGCCATTGGGCTGGTAGCTGAGACCAGCATGGCTATATGGTGTATGAGGCTGGGAGCAGGGGGTTCTGTGAGAGTATAGCAGACCTCCCACTGCCAGCACTGCCTATAGCTCAGGGCTCAGTAATTACATACACATCACATCCCTGCTGAGACAGAACACAGGGTTGGGAGAGCGCTAGTGTGCGTGGCATCCCCTGAGACTGAGAATCCATAGGAGTCTACAGAAGATACTGGAGCGAAAGGAGCCCTTTAGCCATTAGCAGGTGTTTCCGACTACTCCTGACTGTTCAGTGGTGTAGAAAGAGCAAAAATGCACTCCGCACTACTTACGCTGGTACTGGGGCCACACTGCTAACCTTTAGTCTGCTGTGCCTAAGGTGGCGTGTAAGATGTGTAAATCGATGGTGTAGGTTTGTAGCTTGAAAATGTGGATAGTGAGAAAAAAAGGATAAAGATAGGTGAAAATGGGATGAACTAGGGTATTTTTCAGTGTTGAATGAGTAACACAAATGAATAATAGCCTTGTGGAAGTATACAATGGAAATGGAAGCAAATGAAGCTCACTTTTTTCATTTTTGTCTTCATTATGTGTGCCAAACTAGACCTTGGTAACATTCAGTAAGACATATTGATGCATCAGATGCAGTATAGTCAGTAATGGGAACAGCTACCATTTACCATCATGCGCCATGCCATACCAGCACCATACAGAAGAAATATAGTCATAGACTAATTTTTTTATCACACGCCAACACTTGCTTTGACACATTGTCACCACTGTTGCAGGCACACACACACACACACACACACACACACACACACACATAAAACCCATCAATACTATTTGTGGACTGGTTAATTAAAATGCCGTTGAGGCCAAGACACTGAAACAGTTCCCCTAATCCTCTCTGAAAGCAATTTTACTTTAGCTCCTGACATCTTGCAATAAAGGCCACAAGTAATGAAAAAGACGATTGTCTGATGAACTTAAAAGTTCCTTTGAAAGTTCCCTTAATAATTCCTTTTAGAGCCTTGTTATTCATTTTATTTCAGTCTTGCTAATGACCAGGCCCGTCCATTAAATTCAGTGGGCACTGCCCGGAACGCTGTTCATGGGTCTTAACCATGAGCTGAGCTACCATGAGCTACAGTAACAGTGTCCACGTCTGAAATAATGAGATTCTCATAAGCAGCGGTGATGCCCATGGATGATGTGTGGATCGGATGGTTAATTGTTGAGCTCTGTGAGCAGACGGGCAATTTTTTTTTTTCACCCGTTCCCACTGAGTAAGCTCGTGAGAAATGAGCAGGACAAATGTTGCAAAGTTCATTAATGCGTTTCCAGAATAGAAGGCGGCACACAGGGGATAATTTGTATTGTGCGAGCCTGTCTCCCCGTTGTCAGTTAACCCACCTGGCCTCATGAAATGGACATCATGCGCAACCACAAACAATTTCGCCAACACCCCAGAGAGCAATGGCTCCATTTTCCACTGGATCATAAAATCAAACAAATACACACCGCTAGACACCATCCAAACTTAAAAGGGCATCTATTGATTTTTAACTGAAGCCAGGAGCACTTCAAGTAGATTTTCAGAGAAGTGCTCAAATTGTGAGAGAGGCCTTTTAACATTCGCTGCAGCCCAGAATTTCCTCCTGGTCCGCCATTAATTGGCTCGGAGGGGAAGGCAGGGGAGAAACGCTGCAGTCAGAGAGGTTGACGAGGACAGAAAGTTAGGCGAAGCTCATTTAGCAGGGAAAACTACACATATCTCCGCAAATATGTGAGCTAGCCTGCTGCCGTCGCTAATGGGAATTCCTAATCCCAGTAGAATCATAGGAGTTGGAGAACTTGCTGTAACATTAATTATCAACACAACTTTCCCATAGATATGTCCCTCAGGAAAAGGCCAGAGTGCTGGAATGTTTTGATATGGTGGGTTTTAGCTTAAATTACTCATTAGGGCCGAGTGGCATCGGCGGAAGCCGGAGGTAAACATGAGCCATGCAAAGACTGCGGATGTCTACCTATGGGAGTCTATTATGGGATGGATTGGATTATGGATGAATTCTGTTTGCTCTTAGTCACTCTGGAGGCTAACCACAGGATGCCTTAGTAGCTTGTGGCAAGTTCTTACATTCACCAAGACTGATGTAATTAAGACTGCTGTTTTTGCTCAAAAATGTCAAAAAAAAGTAAATGCATGTTCATGGTAGCACACACAAAGTCATCCCAGAGTCCCTGTATATTAATTTTCTCAAACTCACAGAGCTTGTAACATATTCAGTATGAGAACGCATCCCATATTATCATCAAGATTGTTAGTGCTGCAAGTAAATACATAATGAAATTGTCACTGCTGTGACATGAAGGTGCTTTGCGGCATTCGGAGCTCAGGCTGTAGACAAGTAAGTGCAGGCATTAATGCTCAACTCTGGCTGCTTTCAGGTGGCCTGCCAGCCATTTGCATTTCTGCCTCACAACGAGTAAAGCCAGGCTGCGTCTCATTATGCCATGCTAATGTTCCCATTATTTCCTGCAGCTTTGCAATGAGCCTTTTAAACCGGCAGAGGAGGGAAGACAAAAAAAAAACTTCCAAAGAAGCAAGTAAACAGAATGAAAAGTTCAGCTAAGCTGACATGTCCTGAGTTAAAGTGTGCTATTTATATAGCTTGCTGCCTTATGAAAAAAAAACACAACATAGTGCACCACAGTTAATTAATCTGAAACAATGACAGTTAACTGAAAAGCTCATTGGAGATCCTGCAACCGGCTGGCCATCCTTAGAGCTATTCCTTTGTCAGAAAATGAGAGGAATTTTGACTCTCTTCACTTTTTGCCTTCAAGAGTTATCTTCTGAAGCAAGCAATTTTCTGTATGGCTTTTGAAATGAAAGATTAATATATTCCATTCTAGGAGACAATGGCACTCATACACCGCCAAAATAACTCGATTAATTTTCTGTGAGAAGAAAATGGTACCCAAAGTCAGGAAATATGTCATCGTTTGAGGAAGGTTCCATGTGCAATATTTTAAGGAAAAAGAGGCATGAGAAATTTCTGGCCAACCTAACAAAGCAGCTTGTTAAATATCACCTTCAACCGTTTGACCGAGCATCATGCCAATTTAAAACATACTGTTATTATAAAATACAGATCAATGATCAAAGATTTTGAAAGAGCTGAAAATTCACCTTGACAAAAATAGGGGCTCCTGACTTTGGGCCTACTTTCATCTGATTTTTCTCTCACCATCATCAATTTTGTAAAAGAATTACCAAATAACAGGAGTGGGCAATAGCACAGTGCTGAGAGACGGGTTCTGTAGACATGTTTTTCCATGGCACTGGTAAAAACAACTTCAACAATAATAGTTCCCAAAATGCTTCTTTTACCTTAAGGTTCCTTTTCGCTACAAAAAAATACTACACCTGTTTATGTCACAGTGAGCTCTCTCAGGTATTAAACTCCATGCAGTGCAAAGCTTTTAGATCAGTGGTCACCAACCATTCCCCCCTGGAGATCTACTTTCCTGCAGGGTTTGGTTCAGCCTGCATCTAATATGTTGCCCTCCTCATTCTCTAACACTAATGCATTTGATCCAGCAAATCAAGAACTTCAGAAGTCAATTAGCAGGTGTGGCAGACTGTGGTTGGAACGAGCTTCTGCAGGGAAGTAGATATCCAGCACCAAGGTCAGTGACCACTGTTCTAGACAGTGCCATTATATTACAAACAAGGATCATTATACATCTTTACAGTTTCTATATACCCTATTAGCTCTGTATATTGTAAGTCAGTGTCATAAAGTGGTATTGTACAGTCACCCAGCACTGTGAAGAATGAGTATGCGGGTCCACCCTGCACTGCATTCCATCCATCATCCAGCAGACGTCACCTTTTTGAGAGCTTCCCCTCCCAGGGACCGTAGCTGAAGTAAATGAGACCAAAAATATCATTGTGCCGCTGTAGAGCGAAAAGACGTTTCCGCTCTGACACAAATGAGTTTGCGGATTGACATGTCTTTTTTTTTCATCTTTTTATAGTCTCTGTTGAGGAGGAGTCTCTTTGAGTAAATACCCATGAAGCTTTACAGCGTCGGCGTGTGCTTTTTTCTCAGCTGAGCTCAGATGCTCCACAGTGAAGTGTAAGGAAAAATGATCACTCGGTTTGCCACTGCACGCTAGTCCTGCAGTCTATTTTGGAGTCGGCAGTGATCTAATTGCTTTCAGTATATCTGGACAGATCAATGATG